CACGGTATTTAAGTGCATTCGCCTGTCTGTGTGCTTCCCATATGGTTCTTATTGATCCACGTCCCCTTCGTATTCCTTCTGCTGCCTCGCGTTCCTGCTGTTTCTGTCTGCTGCGTGCACTGATGGCGAAGGAATGATGGAATACTGCAGGGTAATTCTCTGGTTTCCTGGAAGTTGGACTGGCTTTATCAGAAGCGGCTGTGACAATACGCCAGCTGATGGGCCAACCAAACATCTCTCCTGCAAGCGTCGATCGGGCAGCGAATAAGCCTTCCTGGAAGGAATAATGAGCAACCCGGAGGCCCTTCCTGGAAGGCCGGAACAGATTGCCAGTTGCGAGGCATTTTCCTAACATCTTGAAAAAAATTTTCACCTTCAAGACTTGACGTGGCTGACTTTGGCAGGAGCTCAGTAATTTAAGAAAGCACACCAGAAGCTGTTGGTTATGCTTAGATTTTAATCAGGCTGCAAGTACGGGATTAGTCCAGCACCATTCCCGTTGCCCAAACTGCTCCCTGTTTTTTTTTTTTTGAGCTGCTGTGAAACATGCAGCTGAAGCAAAGAAAAGGGCGATGTCCAAACCACTGCTGCGAATGTATGATCGTTGGGGAAAGGAAAAGGTCCAAAAAACTGAGTTGTCTGAGAGCCGGGTGTTGTGCTTGGCTCAGCCGCTGTTGACAACTGTTGAGTTGGACACAGCAAGTCACAACCCGAAAAAATGAATCATAGTGGAAAGACTTTGTGCGAGCGTGTGAGATCCACAAGAGGAGTGAAGGATACGGGCAAAATATTCCAGCTCTACTCACCAGGCAACTATGGGGAACATAAAATGAGTCACAGCGAGCTGAGCTGGCTTATTTAGACAATGTGTTTGTGTGTAAAACTGGATTATTCTGGTTGGATTTTTGGGAAGAGGGCTCACTCAGTTCTGTTTGTCTTTTGACCAACGTCACTTTTGTCAGCAAGGGCCAGCCTAGTTTTCCCTCTCATAAACAGTGTCTCTAACACACACACACACACACACACACACGCACGCACGCACGCACGCACGCACGCACGCACACACACACACACACACACACACATACACACACACACACACACACGCACGCAGCACGCACGCACGCACGCACACACATACACACACACGCACGCACGCACGCACGCACGCACGCACGCTCACACACACACACACACACACACACACACACACACACACATTCGAGGCGTCAAAGAAAAATGGGAACTGTTGAACTGAATTGTTGTAATGTCCTCCAATCAGATAAGCTACAAAACAGGCATTATGGTCTCAGAGGTGTACACTCAGTACTCCCCTATTTAAATCCAAAGTCAAGTGTGTCAAAACACACTGCAGACTACACAGTCATTATTTATTAAACAAAGATGAAGCTCAAATGGAAAAACTAATTACACATCATCTTTGAAAGCCTTGGAGAACCACTTTTAGCAGCTATCGCATCATTTCTGTATGACTTTATCAGTCTCTCACTTTGCTGTGGAGGAATTTTGGCCTATTTTTCTTTACATAGCATTGCTTCATTGCTTGCATGACCCAGTTTAGGCCAGGCTTCAGCTGCCAGGCCATTGAAACTCCCTTTATCTTCTTTTTCGGCCCTTCAGTTGGAGAGTTGCTGTTGTGTTTGGGATCGCTTTTCCATTGAGGACCCAAATTTAGGTCAAGCTTCTCGTGTCCGAAAGCTGATCTCTTAATGCTTTGATGCACAAAGGTGTTTGAAGTGAACTCACTGACTGTAAGGTTCCCAGGTACAGAGCTTGTCAAAGGAGATGTATTATGTAAAATTCACATTTTGCACATTTTTGTACTTCCATTTGGGTTGAAATTTCAAATAAAATCAGCCAAAGTGCTTTAAAAAAAACACCCAGATAATGTTTTGGCAATAAGTCAATGTTTTTTGGTGACTGGAAAACGAAACGTTTCAAAAACCTCCTGATTGTTGAGTCATATTCAATGGGCACTGTCCTGTTACCTAGCAACCACAACGAAGCCCAGCCTGTTACCTGGCAATCGGAGCTGACCTCCAGCATGTTTGGTCAGCTGGTTTCACCGTACTATATAATGGTGGCTGGAAAAGATAAGTGTTTCATTGTTGACTTACTATTCGTAAACCACTCACTACGTCCTTGTTGACTGTGCAGGAGGCTCCACTTCTGCTTTTCAAAAACGTATGGTTATATAATTGTGCATCTGTTTGCAACCATTTTTACATGTGAGTGTAAACATTGAGTTGGGAGGCACAGTCAGCAGCAGCTTGCTTGGATTTAAAGTGATAGAGGCCCTAAAACATTTAGGCAAAATAGGCAGAACGGACGAGACTAAAGTCTCATTATCTAAGAATAATCTTGGGCAAAAATGTTATGAACATGTTCAAGGAAGCATAGATCACCTTTAACCAAAGCTCGAATCATTACGGTTTCACCACTGGGTTTGACTGTTAGCATGAGGCGTTTGTGCTGATATGAATTTTGTTTTCTCCAACCATGGAGATGTTGATCAAGGTCAATCATCTCATCAATCAGAAGACATTGTTCCAGTATCGAGAATTGAAATGCAACTTTTAAAATGGGCGTATTGTTAAAAATGTTAGGACAGATTTAGGAGCGATCTAAATGTAATTTACTCTTAAAATATAGATAACTTTACAAGAGATTCATTGTTGATGTCTTTCCTTCCTGACATTGTGTTGCCACAGAGAAGTGGTCACACTTGTTCGGGAAGTGCATTTTTTCTATTGACTTCCTCTTTTATCCTTTGGAAATAGAACAGATTCTACAGGAACAACTCAACCAATTAGAAGATTATCGGATTATATTTCAGTGACTCAAATCAAAACAGTAAAACTTAAAAGTAGATTAATCATGCACAAACAGTGAAATATTTCATTTATTTCTTATAATTTCAATGATTATGGGTTGCAGTTAATGGAAATCCAAAATTCAGTGACACAAAAGGTCGTTGTTCTTTTAACCTTGTGGTTAAACTCCACAGTTATTGGTGATTTGGGGAGTTATGTCATCTGTTGAAGTTGATCCAATGTGTTTTATGAAGCCCAAAGTCAGACCATCTGTCTACTAGGTAATTATTTACTTCCAAAGCTACGTGGTGCTGGGGATTTCACTTTCCACCAGAACCTGTGCATCCTATTCAAGGTTGGGCCATTAAATCATCCCTGATCTCAAGAGGAAGATGATCCACCAATGCACATGAGATGAAGGTATTGTTCCTAAAATACTTTTGAATGTATCCAAGGTTTCTGCTGGTTTCATCAACTCAAATTTAACACCGTTTAACTGAAAACCAATAACTCCACAGAAATGTATGAAATTTATCCAACCAACCTGGTTAATCTGTGATTAGCATATTAAAAGTCATTTTGCTTTCTTCAATGAATCTGAGACATTTAAAGGCTTTAACTTTACATACATGAGTTTAAATTCCCTTTTTGTCTAATTTTTGCTCCAGTATGAGTCACGCATTAAATGTTGTACTTGTTCAGGAATGTTCGGTTAATAAAGGTTTAATCCTCATTTAATCCATCCCTCATATTTCTGTTCCTGCAAGTCCATTATGATCCTTAATTTTGCTACCAACTAGCAGAAAATGTAGTTGCCATCCAGTTTTTTCTCTAATTTAGTTTCCCATGGATCGGTTTTAACTCCTTCCCTTCCAGATCAGCAGTATTTGACATTAATTTAAACCCACTTTAATACGTTTTGTTGTGCTATTTAAGACTATTTAAATTCACTAGTTGTAAAATTAACCTGCATGCCACTTGCTACATTGAATTACCAAAATAAATAAACGTTTTGTATTTAGTTTGTCACAAACTTTTTTCATTTTGGCTTCTTGTTTAATAGTTTGGATTAATTTTAATATATTTTTTAAATTAAGTCCTGAAGAATACAGCTTGAATTTGTAAAAGGTGTGCTTTTTCCCGTCAGACTAAGAGAAATAAGTTTTGTTTTCTGTTGCACGGCAGCAAGCCGATTACTTCACATTTCCCAGATGTTTCTAAATTGAAGAAATAAGCCGTTTTCTCATCAGTGCTCTGTCATTTATCTCACACAAACACCCCCTCACCCAGAGACAACTCATTCACTCCTTCTCGGACGCACACACCAACACCAGGCAAGCCGTAAAAACTCAACTCAATTAAAGTGCCTCTTTCCTGGAAGCCGGCCTCAGACGGAGCACAAGGTATGCAGGGAATGGGAACCGTGTGTGTGCGTGTGTGTGTGTGTGAAGATGTGGGGGAGGTGGGGAGCTGGGAAATGAAGGAACTCACCTCTTGCTTAATTTTACTAACAGTAATCTCACTTAACACACAAACACACACAGATTCAGCGTTGGCTTGAGAGTGAAACCACAGCCAGTCATAAATCTCGTCCACGTGGATGGGCTCACCTTTCTGACCTCACACTCCCCATAGGACGCCATCCCCTCTCTCTCTCTCTCTCTCCCTCTTAGCCGCCAAAGGCAGGATGTATAAAATCCCACTGCATTCCTTTTCCAGTCAAGTCCAGCCCAAAGTCAGCTTTTTGCACACTAACTGCTGTGTCAAAGGTTTGCCCGTCTCCGTGCTTCTGGGAATCCCTTTGTCACAGCGTGGCGCTCAGCTTTCCCAAACACACTCTCTGATTCGCATGGAATTTACCCACAATGCTCCACTGACACATACGAGAAGTGAAGATTGCGGTAATTTCAAGCCCTGGGATCATGCAGCCGTCCTTCCCTGTTGCTCGAAGCGATCTCTCCGAGTGTATAAACACGTCTTCGGCCAGCTTTGAAATCCCATCTGACAGTAAATAATCTTGTTGTGAAGCCAGGAATTGCTGGAATACAGACTACTTTGCAACACATTACAGTAAGTTAAAGCATATCCAGTCAATATTGACTCAGGGGGGAGAAAAGGAGAAGCAGGCAGGAGGCAGTGAGGAAGTAACACACAGGGCACACTGCATTGGCTTTTGTAAAAATAGTGTTCTTTAATATAAATTATTGAAATATTTTAGAAATATAAATATGTGCAACGTTTCTTTTTCATTTATTATGTAATGCTTTTGACATTGCAGATATTACAGCTTGTATTTTGCCAGACTAGTGGCCAGCCTTTTGCAAGTGAGTCTTTATAAAAGACAAATGATTCACATACACTCGGTCTACTGCTGCAGCACAACATGTAAGAACTTGGTGTTTGATGCAAGACAGTAAGACCCAGATCTGACCATTAAATACAAAAGGTGTGCATCACTGTGGCTACATAAACTCACACTGTTTCATGATTTAAAAAGAAAAGAAAAGGCTACCATTCCAATATGGATTACAGGTGAGTATGAGCACGAGGAAAACACAACAAAAAGATAATAATGTGGGTCAAATCTGAGTCTTGCAGTTAGTTTTACAAAATGCATTTTAAAAGAATTTCCTAAGGGAAGTATTTAGTTCCCTTGATGTTCTCCAAAGGCAAAGAAAAAAGGTTATAAACAGTTCAAATAACAGCATGTTTCCTCTTTAACTCCTTCATGAATGGCGCTGGAAGACCAGGAGAAAGAGAGAGAGCGGGCAGGCAACCAACACAAAAGGCTTAAAAGGAAATAAGCTAATACAAATGTTACACACAAAATGCATATGTCCATCTGCCTACAAAAACAAAACATATAAGCATGCAGTTTGATGCACTTCTGAGATTAATTAAAGTCACCACTGACTTTTTTTTCTAAAATGGCATCAAACTCAAAGAAAAATATGAAATCGGTATTGGCCTGATCGGTGCAGCTCTAAACTTTGAAGCAGTTTTAAAGATGAATGGCATAGTGGATGGTTGCAGAATTCCCCTTTTTATTTCCCTTTTCTTGAGATGAATCGCTCAGGATTTCCTAGCTGACAGCAATTTCTGATTTTTGCTTTAGGTCTGACCCACAGATTCTGGTTTTTAAAAGGACTGCGAGGCATTAAAAGAACACACATGTGAGTTGTTTGATAGAAGTAGCATATCTGACCAGAATAGAATTGGAGATATTACAAAATAATCCACTTTTATTCATCAACTCCTACTGTTGGATTTACAATGCTTATTGCTGCAATTTCTTCATTTCCATTTGGATCCAAAATTACAAATGAACTTGTAACACTCTTAAGTGTTGAATTTAAACAGCATTTAGACAAATTGGGTTTCTTATAAAACTATAACAAAATCAGAGACAGCAGGTCAGACCACCAAGAAAACCAGATTATCTGTATTGGGCAGAAAAGCCTGACCATTACATCTCTGTTATGATCAATACCAATTTCTGATTTTCCTTTGGGTTTTACCTTCAGATGCCAATTTTGACACATATGAAAGAACAAAATAGACTTCAGGTTCCTTGACAGAAATAGACTCTTGTAATCCATCAAAAATTAAGATTATTCTTGTTTAGGTGTAATCTGCCTAATCTTCATTAGATTTGAATTAATCTAAAAAAAAATGTGCAGCAAAGTACATAAATTTGGTTGATGTGTTTACAGACTGCAAATGTTGGGAGTTCTTGGTTTTCATTGAATAAAAGGAAATATTACATGTATTTGTTATTGTTAGTCCATCATTAAGAGAAAGAAAATCAGCCAATTCCAATCTCCAGCTGATCAATCGGTGCATCTCAATTTTTTAAACACGTATGTTTTAAATGCATCAAAAATGTCAATTTTTAGTGTGTAAACATATCAACAAACATCACGCCTTTGATGGAGTTTATTTTGAGTTTCATAAAAAATAAAAATCTCATGATTGCCTAATTTTCCTTTGGGTTTGTCGCTACTTCCTCCATCATGCAGCCTTTAGCTACAGAATTAAAACATTTACATAAAAAAGTTTTTGTCTTACAGACCTAAAAATTGGAAGGTCAGGCTCTCAAAAAAATTTGGATATATTGGTATCAGCCAGTACAAGTTAGTTTGTTGCATTTCTCGATAAAATACTCAAAAAGAACTGATTTGAGACTAAGATGGAGCCGTCATATTTACACAAGCTACATCCTGTTGGACTGCATCATCAATCTAATCAGTGTTTTTATCAAGCTGTATACCAGTATGTCTCCTCCTCCTTCAGTTTCCCCTTCCCTAATCCCATTTCCCGCTCTTCTGCCCCCCTCCTCTGTCTTCCCACCCTTCTTCCTTCCCCATCCCCGGGATTATTACTGCCAGTCTCCAGCAATCTTTACATCTTTGCAGTCTGGATAAAAATAATTTCTTCTTCTTCTTTTGTTTGGTCCCTCACAAGAGCCTTTGTGTCAATAACAAGCTTTTGTCTCGGCGACTGCGGTCTGCTTTCTGGCGCTGTCAGAGCACACATGCATCAAAAAAAAAAAAAAAGAAAAAATTGGAGGGAAGGGTAATGGAGGAGGAATAAGAAACAAACAGCAGAAGAAGAAATGAATTTTTTTGTGCCCTACGCAGACAAAACCGACATGTGGGCCTGTACCTGCAAGAGTGTGTGTTGAGCTAGCGTGCATGGCCAGCCCACTCCCCTCTATGTGGCAACATTTGCGGGAAAAGGGAATGGAAATTTGTGCACAACCACAACGCACACACTCAGACAAACAAATACTGTATGCCGGGATCTATCCCTCTTTCTCCCCCTCTCTCTCTTTTCTCGTTTGGACTTTGCCTTTTTTCTGTTACTCCTCCTTCATTCGCTCCCTCTCCATCTCGCGATCCAAAGAGTTGAAAAAATGAGGATGTTCTTTCTTTAAGAGCGTTAAAACCCACCGATGTCAGCGGCGGCATGATACCGCCATCGTTTACAATCTTCTACGAGGCTCTGCTCTGCGTCTGAGTCAGTCATAAGAAACGCTGATCTTAGACCTCTGGCTTCATCTGCCACCCCAAACGGTAGTGGTCAGGTTCTCCTAAGGCAGGATAGACGAGGTAATCGCCGGTTACCCAAAGCCGACTCCAGCATCTGGGGGGTTAAAGTAGACGAAGCCCAACAGCGATTTACTAGGAATCAAAAGTGCTGAGATCGGCTGATTCTGGTCGCAGTGACCTCATTTCAGTCTGATCAGCTCTGAGAAGCGTTCTGTGCTGTTCCTCATCAGTCAGATAGACGCGTCGTACTTCTCCATGAAGTCTCTGAGCGCCTGCGGGAGTTGCTGCATCTCTCCTTGGCCCGTTCGGTTCAGCGCCCTCCTGCATATGTGCTTCAGGGACGAGGGGCTGATCTTGAGGGGCTTCAGCAGCTCCAGCGGGGTTTTAATCCCACGGCTGTCCATCAGGTAAATGGTTTCCATACTTCCTTCACTCGCCCCATCCACGGTCAGTTGCACGTCCCTCCCTCTCCCCATGTAGAACGTGATGAGCTTCAGCACGCAGTCGAACCGCGGCACCTTCTCTTTGTTTTGGTAGTCGTTCTCGAGGAAGAAGCCGCCTTCCTCGCTGTGGATGCGGAGGTTCCTGGTTCCATAAACCGTCTGCACGGACAGGGTGAAGAAGTAGCGGCGGTCCGACGAGTCGCGGATGAGGAAAGTCCCAGGTTCCTCTTTGTTCAACAAGGCTTTGGCCTCCAGACCCCCAATGGGCCCAAAGTAAAAGCCGCTCTCCAGAAGCTTACGATGAGCATCCATCACCTGGAACAGATTAAAAGACCATCAGGGGAAACGTTCTGTGCAACTTCACTGCAAAAACCACAAAATATCATCTAGTACTTTTGGTCTAGTTTGCTCTACAAATATCTTAGTACACTTGAAACAAGACTAAGTTAATTTACAAGTAACTTTGGATCTTGTTTTCAGTCAATCGTTCCTAAATATTGATGAAAAAGTACAACTTATATATGGAACTCGTACTTTTTCCATCAATATTAAGGAATTATTGGCTTAAAGCTAGCAACTGAAAACTTACTTGTAAGTTAGTTTTTTTTTTTTCATGTGGGTTAAGATGTTTGCAGTACAGCTGCAGCTACCAATTATTTTAGATTATTCTATCGATTTCTCTGACGACTAATCAATTAACTTGTAAAATTCTGCATATAAATCTTTTTAAAATAATACCAGAAATGGATTAAAAAATGCAAATAAACAGTAATTTAACTGTCTTTCTAAAAAAGACAAAGCATTTTACTACCTAAAATGCAACAACATGGCATTCCTTAATTATTTGTTGCGAAGGATGTCCCTGAAACTAAAAAACATGATAAAATGTTTACATTTTAACAATGTATGACTGAATATCTTGTAATAATAAAAAAAAACTGGATAGCAAAAGGTGTTTCTTAGAAGATCATTATCACTTGAAGATTTTTGAGCAGATCAAACTTAATGACCAAGATTTCATTTTGTCTGAAATACAAAATAAATGTATAGATTATACAGTTTGGCTTATTTACTAGTCTGTACATGATCTTGCAGCAAACAACCTTCTTTTTTAGTGTATTTACTCCATTAAGTGATTAATCAATTATTAATCTAGTTGATTATTTCAATAGTTTGATTAACCACAATTAAATTGATTAATTGTTTCAGCCCTAATCTGCACTAGAAACTAGAACAAAAGTATTTGGTGAGATTTTGTGTTTTTGCAGCGTTAAAATGTTATTATGAAACCTGATAGCAGGACAAACGCACAAACAAAAGATCTGATGAAAAAAATGGATGGATTGAAGAAGAGATAAATGGAAGAATCAATGAACAAACAGACTGATAAAACAAGATGATGTACAAATGAAGGGCTTAATTGAAAAAAAAAATGAATGTAGAAACTTAATTGCTAAACAAACAAATAGATAAAGGGAAAAATGGATGGATAAATGGACAAATGAATAAATGATAAGACAGATGAATGGATTAAGAAATATATGTGTGATTGATAGAGACGGATGGACAGATGGCATAAGTTATTGAATGGCTGTATGAAAAGATAAAGACAAGTACCACAAAAAACAAAATCTTACCAAGTATTTTTGGTCTGGTTTTTGGTGCAAATATCTTAGCACACTTGAAATCAGATAAAACTAAAATACAAGTATCTTTTCAGCAAGATGTAGGAGTTTGCCTTCGTCAATAGTTCCTCAATAGTGATACAAAGTAGAAATGCACCAATTTGATATCACTATTTGTATCAGTATCATATTGTAAAAAATTCTAGATTGGGTATTGGTGACAATTTTGTGTTGTTTTTACATGTTTGACCAGGCTTGTGAAGGTAACGGTGTATTTAGATGTGCTGGACTGGTGTCACGTTATCAAATGTCATGTCTGTGTTTAAAAAAAATACACATTTTAAGTCAATTCATTGTTCTTCTGCATTGGAATTAGCCGATAATAAATGACAGATATCAGTATCGGATGTGAAAACAGTGAATTAGTGCATCCCTAATGAAACTCTTAACTTAAACAACATTATAAGTGAAAAAACTACTAGTGAAACTTTTTAATCGATATTCAAGATTTTTTGACTTGGAACAAGCTCCCATATCTTGCTGAAATGTTAGTTGCAAGTTAGTTTTGCTTCATATCAAGTGAACAAAGATGTTTGCACTAGAAACTAGACAAAAATACTTGGTTTGATTTTTAGTTTCTAATCCTCAGCTATTGGTATTTGAAGTGAAAAAGTGGATTGGTGCATTCCTACTAAAATAGTTCCACTGAGAGATCTTTTAACTTAAGCATTTTTCCAATGTTATAAGTGAAAAACTATCAGCTCTGTAATCAATGTTCAAGAATGATTGACTTAAAACAAGCTCCGATATCTTGCCGAAAGTTTCTTGTTACGAAAGTTTGTTTTGCTTCAAGTGAGCAAAGATATTTGCACTAGAAACGGACCAAAACACTTGGTAAGATTTGATATTTTTGCAGTGAGGTGAATTTAATGAAAAAAAAAACAACCTTTCCCCCCAACTTATTCTGATCTAAAAGCATCTAAAATCAAACTTCAGATGCTTTTAGCGTCCCAGAAGAACAACCCGGCTTGACTCACCTGCTGGTAGTGTTCATGCGAGCTGAAGGGCTTGTAGTGAAGTGGGGCTAAGTCTGACCCCTGAATCCTGCTGCTCTCCGAAGGGGTCACACTGCTCATTGCGAGGGGCCTGGCTACCGCGGCGCCATGGCCCCCTGCCTCTGCCCGCCGGTCGAGGGGCAGGGGGCCCGGAGCAGGAGCCCCGGGACGGACAGGTGGTGGTAACTGTGGAGCAGGGCGACCGGAGACGGAGGGCCAACGGGGCGAGGTCGGCGGAGTCACAAGCCGGGTCCAGGGCCCCGGGGAGGAGGGGTCTGATGCATCCAGAGAGGGGCTGGGAGAGGGCACCTAAGCACAGCTGGAGGAAGACGGAGAAAGATGGAGCAGGGATTATGCATTTCCATCTATATATAGGCTGGTGACAAGCAAACACTGAGCCACGCTGGAAACTTACACTCCTTCATGAGCAGTGACATAAACAAATGAGCACTTTGCCACACTGGAGCTCTCAGTTTACCCCACATAAAGTGCAGTTATGGCGGCTGTGACAAATGCACGGAGCAGGAGGGGGTTATATTTAGTTTAAATGAATCCTCAGCGTACTCGCTGCTCCAGCGTGCAGCCAGACGGCAACTGGATCCTGATTGCTTTCAATTGTCTTCGATCGGCGCACCGCAACAAGAGATTTCTGAATCGGGGTCACGGTGAAAGAGTCCGGCACAATTTTTTTTTTTTTTTTACTCCTCCCTTCCCCCTCTTTTCTCCTTTCACTGAATAACTCTTTATCCCGGCTGTCGGAAGAGGAGGAGGGGGGGCTTCCTCTGGTTTCACAGGGATAAAAATAATAATAACAATAGTGGAGCCAATCTGGCTTGCTCTGCTGGGATCCTCTGCAGAGAACCGCCCGCTGCACCGGACAGTGATCCAGAGAGAGAAGCTGAGCAGCAGCAGCAACGGTACAGAGAGCAGAACCGAGCCAGGAAGTTGGCCTCCGATTTGAACAGACGCTTCATTAAAAAAAGGGCTGTTTCAGTTTTTTTTTTTTTAATTTTTTTATTTAAACTTGAGTTGGTTTCCACACATTTGTGAAAACCAACTGGCTTCCCAATCATGATCCTTATTAAATTAACAAGACTGCAACATGTATCCAAGCAAATACTCGGCTTTTTTGGACATGTGTTACTCACAGCAAGCAGAATTGCAAAAAGGTCAAATATTCTGAGCAGAAAGAGTTTATTTCTAAATACAAAGGAGAAAAACGGGCTGCAGGTACTTTGAGGCAGGTACACAACAATTCAGAAGAAAAATAAATGACTATAATTTGATCTTTATCTAAATTTGACTTGGGACATTTTTAAAGTACATGGTGTTGGTTGGTGTGTTAACAGGCTGGAAATAGTTGGGAGTTTTAAAATCTTGAATTATTTATGGCTGAAAACATTAAGCATCTTCAGCTGCCAATCAAGAGAAAGTTGACTGGTGCACTGACCAGGCCAGTTTCTGAGAGTTCTGCCGAATTTTGATGTCTTTGGATTATTCTGTTTTATGATACAAGTGCTTCACTGTTCTTTTCTTTTAAAATATAGGAATTCACCAAAGCATACATCTCTAATTTATATCTAGTTTATACCAAACACACAAAAGCTGGAGAGGGAAATGACCTTCTGTTATAATTTTGATATTCTCAAAATTCTGAGAAAATCTGATGATAAACTAAACACACCCAGCATATTATTTATTTTAGTACCTGTAACTGGATTTTAGTTTTGGTGTAAAATCCAAATATAGTTGGTGACCCTGGTGGCGCCACCAAGTGGTGGGTGGAGGTGTTGTAATGACAAAAGATGCCAACCTCTTTACAAACAGTCCTATGTGTATATCATATATCTGGAAGCACATCTGAAGAATATATATATAGTCATTTTATTTATATTTAAAAAATACTTAACACAGATTAGCCTGCACTGAAAAGAGACGAGTAATATTTTCTATATTGTCAACAATGCTTCTTTCAAACGTTTTTATATTACACAAACCAGCATCAGAATTTTCTCTGTTGGGTTTATTAGTGAAAATGTAATTTTATATAAACAAACATGACTTTTGATCTACATAGAGGGACTATTACAAGCAAATCACCTGACATTTTTACCACTAAGAAAAAAGGCAGATCATTCATCAATGATATTGGCATTTAGATCTTTTTAAAAAAGTTGCTGAATGCCTAACTAAAAATATAGATTAATGCCAGTGCCTAGATTACTGGTGGCCCCCATTTGGCCCTTGGATTTTCTAGAGGTGCCCCTGGAGAAAAGGAACAATCTTGAGTATTTAATAACTTATTCGATAAGTTTGTGCACAACAAAAGAATTGGACTTTGGTTTTCAATTGCTCACAGAATACAGTCACAAAGTATAGATATCAAACTAACTTGGATCAGATTGTAGAACCAGCCTGTGTCCATGAAAAACCCACTCCACGTTGCTACATTGCAGCTCCGGCCGGTTTATGGTAATTCAGGGTCCCTAAAAAGAGCGAAATAGCCCTTTACTGAGAACAACAAATCGGAGACGAACTTCGGGGTCATATCCCTGAGCCAGAATCCGATGAAAACCAGATTACGTTTAATCCAGCCAGCAGCTGTGGGGTCTACGGACTATTTCCCCACTTTCGGTCGAGCCTCCTCTCACAACTTACCTTGCGGATGTGCTGAAGTCCGCACCGCAGCCGCTCGTCGCCGAAGGAAAAGACCCGCAAACTACCCGAAAGTAGTGCCAGCTGAATTATTAACTCAGGCATTAAAATCCAAAGAGAAGTGTCCCCCCCGCAAAAGAAACGCGTGGGGTTTGGATGGGAGAGCGGAGGAATGCGGCCGGTCGGAGGGATCCCGAGTGTGTGAGTGAGTGAGTGTGTGTGTGTGTTAGAAGGTTACCGGAGGTTGTTCCAGTGTGAGTAAAAAGACGATGTTTAGGAAGGCTCCGCCCCTCCCTGCGTTCAGACCATCTTCCAGTAAACACACGCACGCTCTTACGCGCGTGCTCGCGCTCGCTCCCGCTGCGCAGGCAGAATAAGCGGCTGTGCTGCCGCGCCCGCGCGCGCGCGGGCAGATTGCCAATAAATAATCAGCGTGACCTTTGGCGCTTTGTTTCCTGGTACTGGGTTCCCTTCTCGACAAGGTGAAAAAGTTAAAAGCTGCACACATGGCACAATAAAACAAGATCACCCTCCCCGGGTAATTGCTTTTACAAACAGGATAGACGGTTCAAATATTTTATTGAGCAAGCGAGTTATGAGGATATGAAAAGTATAATGGTGGGTTTTAAAAAGCAAAAACAAGCCTGCAACTGTTATCCCTTCACTGAGGCTCTCCCAAACTGGTCGGGTACTGATTTTAGTTATTTGTTCATGAAGGACATTAAATAAACCTTGTTTTTGTCTGAATATACTCACTAAAAACAGTTTAGATGGTTGAAATATTTTGAGTGAGGAAAATATAAAGCTGTATTTTCAAAGAGAAGACAACATATAAAAAAGGTCTGCAACTCTTCACAGTTGGTAATGAACAAAGTTTTATTTTTTCATAAAGAAAGTAAAATAAACTTGGTTTTGATTCTATTTTTCAGAGTAAGCGTATGCCTCAATCTACTCACAAAACTACACCTGTTTGTTCTTTTTTCCTGTAATAAAATGAAAAAAATCTAAATACAGTAACCACCGGCCATTCCAAATTGTTTGTAGACTTTATATATATTTTTGTAGGTTTTTTAAGATACTACCAAAAAAAAAAAAAAAAATGCAGCTTGGGAATTTTAACACTGGCATTTGCAAAACAACCAATCCAGGAGCCTTATTTATTTTCCTTGGTGGTAATTTACAGTAATGCCAGGAATGGAGATAAGGAAGAATGCAAGCTTCTGCACCAACATAGTTTCATCTTTGCATATGAATGCAAATTAGGTTATATTTGGTTTTTGAACTATTACAATAGGCAGTTATAACCAACTATAGTGGGAGTCTTAAGCATTTGCTGACTTTAGCTATTTGCAGGCAGCTGTAGACTCCAATCACCACTCCACTGTAAATACAAAAAACCCAATTAGATTAGATTCATTATTCTCTTTATAAAGAACAACAAGTGAACTGTGATTAGCCAAATTTTGGGAAAGCTAGAGTTCAGTTTCAACAGCCACAATCAGGCCTGACTGGTTCCACTTTGCACCAAATAGGCCAAAAGATCTAAAAAGAGTATCACATCATGCCTCAATCTAAAGTAAGGCAAGAGCAGATGCAGAAAAAAAAGTTATTGATGATTACCAGGCTGGAAAACAGCTCCTAAGCCATTCCCAAGGGTTTAGGACTCCAGCAAAGGACAGTGAGAGCCATTGTCCACAAATGAAGAAAACATGAAACAGTAGTAATCCTTCCCAGGTGTGGATAGGTTACCAAAATAACTCCAAAAGTGTAACAATGACGTACTGAGAAGGTGGGGTGGTCAGTTATCTAAATGTCTTTTTGGTGTTGTGAATATTTTATTATCAGGATAAGATTTGACTCATAGAAGAGCAGTGATAATTCAACATATATCTACTTAAGTAAAAGTGAAAAGTAGGCCTCCAAAAATGATTCAAGAGTAAAAAAGTATTAGGTCAAGCTGAGTAATCATCAAATTAATAACCATTTAATATTTAAAAACTACATCATTAGATGGATCATAATATAAAGTTAAGAGGAAACTTTAGCAGTTTAAGGACTAAAATGACAATAATTCACATAAGTAACAAAAAAATAACAAAATCAGGCAAAAGAGAATTTTCCAAATCAGTTTTTTATTGATATAAAACTTTTAAAACTTTAACAAGAACTGCAGGTGTGCGTCTTTTTGGTAAAAACATGTTTGTTTTTCATTTATTGGGTAGATAATCCAGAATTTTTACTCAAGTAAGAGTCATAAGTACACCATAGAAAAAATACTCCCAAAAGCATTTTTTGATTAAATGTAATTGAGTAAATGTAACTAGTTACTACCCAACATTGTTGTTACTTGTACTCATTTCTTCACTGTTGGATTCATGAGAGTGTCAATAAATACAAAAATACAATCAAAAGCAGCTATGAACTCATCAACAATCTGGTGTCCTGAATATTTCAAAATAAGTTCTAAATCCTTTTTTATTACCACTTCTGTTGCGATCACAAAAAATACCTCAGAAAGATTCTGATGCAGTTGTAAGTCTGTATTAACGTCTCTCTCCAGGAATTCAGAAAAGAACAGAGAACCAGATTTAAAGTGCTATGGACCCCATCTGCTCCTTTTGGGGGGAGTGAGTGTTTATAACAATAAGAAAGCA